CGACACCGTCTACTGTGTAAACACGGTAAATATGGAGCCAGTTGTAATTTACATCGCGCATCAGCTACTGTAATTTACACACCAGCTACTGTAATTTACATCGCGCATCGCGTATAAGAAAATGCGCACTTTGCGCGAACTCTATTGTGACGTAACAATCACGCCCTAGGCACACTGTTTGTAGTGTATCGAAAATTTGTCAAACTCTGGATGCACAGTGCTGGTTTGACGATAAATGGATTACTTATATATTGCATCAAAGAATAGCATGTACAAAATGTAGTGTCCGTAACATCCTATAGGGTTTTGTACATAAGTTATTTTGGACAACTTATGATATGAAACGAGCCTTCCTAGCAATTTGATTTTTTTTTTATTTGTTTACAGATGGGACTAAAGTTTGTTATTTGTCTCATATATCAATGTTTGGTTGGCTTTTTAAAAACTTTAAGGATTTTTCAAAAAATGTCATTTATCAGATTTGACCTTTGATGTGTATACTGCGTCTAATTTATGGACTGAAGTGAGTATGAATGGTTTTATTTTTCACAAATGGCCAAGAAATTCCCGAAAGAAGTGCAAAATATTTGAGTGTTAAGATAAATAATGCTTGAAAATTCCATTTCGGTAGCAATGTGTAGTGTCCGTAACACCCTATAGGATTTTGTACATAAGTTATTTTGGACAACTTATGATATAAAACGAGCCTTCCTAGCAATTTGATTTGTTTTTATATGTATACAGATGGGACTAAAGTTTGTAATTTGTCTCATTTATCAATGTTTGGTTCGCTTTTTAAAAAGTTTCAGGTTTTGAAAAAATGTCATTTATTAGATTTGACCTTGTGTTACCTCTGATGTGTATACTGCGTCTAATTTATGGACTGAAGTGAGTGGGAATGGTTTTATTTTTCACAAATGGCCAAGAAATTCCCCAAAGAAATGCAAAATATTTGAGTGTTAAGATAAATAATGCTTGAAAATTCCATTTCTGTAGCTTTGTGTAGTGTCCGTAACACCTACCACCCCCTGTGATGTTGATGCTCATAAAATGATAACCAAGATAGTTTCCTCAACGATATTGCAGGGTATTAACCCCAGGGTATGGATGAACAATTTGGGGTTGATGAAACTGCTCTATTGCATACTTTATTTTTGGACCCAAGTGCAAATGGTTTTGCACCCTGATTGTGGCTATACCGTGATATATAAAGCAAAATGGAATAAAGGACACAATCAGATCCCCCTCCTCCCCCCCCCCCCCCTTAATTCCAATCTTTTAGAGCTCATCTTTTGTTTTAATTGTAAGTTAATTCTGGTTGGCATTAACTCTGGATGGTTTATGATATAGTACAGTCAGCAGGTAGGACATTTAAACCAGCAAACCAAGTAATACTTGCATGAAATTGTATTTACGAGAATGGAAATACATCTCACATATTTGTACATTTTGAAGGGAAATCCAACGGCCAACCTTAATTGCTAGCAAACTACTGTAGAGGAAATAAGCAGAACAATCAGAGATGCAGACTATCATCCTCACCTACATCATCAGCAGGAGCATCATCAAAAATTCACCACCACCATCATCATCATCATCATCATCATCATTCATCAGCACCAGCAGTAAAATCATTATTCATAATCATTATCAATCATCATTAAATCGATCCTCATCCGTATCACCATCATTATTTACATTAGCATCATCATCATCTTCATCAAATTCATAGTCATCGTCATTACAACATCATCACCCTATTACCAAAAATATCATCACCATCATCGTGGCTTCCATGCTCTAGATCGTGTGTTCATTGCGAGAGTCGTCTACACGATCGACGAAGCGAAGCGGCCGCGCCGCGCCGAGCAACGAATTCGCAAGCCAGGCTCGATTACACACAAAAACAGGTGCAGAGAGACAAGACCCTCCTCCTCCATTCATTCCAACACAGCGTCAAGACAGCAGATCTAAATACAAAGTACAAACTACAGAAAAACACCTACAAAAAGAGGATTCCAAACTTTCTCTCTCACATCAGGAACACCTAGTCACAAAGATATTATCTATAATTTTTGTTCATGATTAAAACTTTAGAAATTGAGAATTACTTACAATTTCTGATAAGTTTGACCTCCGGTGGGCGTAAATCTCCAGGCCAGATATAACGTGCCACAAGTTTCATGTATAATCATAAACATTATCTAACACACACCGAAAGCTGGCGCTCGACCTGATACTAGTTCTGCGTTAATGTTACAACAAGACAAAAATCATTTTACGATTTTTATTATTGACGGTGTTTCACAATGGTTTGTATTTTAGAAAGTAAATCAACATATAAATTTAAATTTATATTATCATTACAATTATCATGAGAAGCGAAATTGAAAGTACCCCCCCCCCAATTTTTTTTCTCCAAGATCCGTTGAATTTGTTTAGACCCCTCCCCAGGACGTCGATCAATTACATGTATGTGCCCCCCCCCCCCCCCCAACATGAAACTCTGGCTACGGCCCTGCCTATAGCAATAACTATCATTTTTGCAATTCGCATCCTGACTATTGAAATACAATTGTTGATAACAGATGAATCGAGGCACTTCACAAAGAAATATGAACTAAATTTGGATACATTACGAAAATGGCCTAATGTGTAGTTATTTGTTGGGGAGTTTGGGAGTATTTGACGAGGAGTATAAGTTGAGCTCACATCATTCTGCCCATCATTCAACACAGGCTATACAAGCGAACGATTTTTTTTTTCTCAATTATTTGTGACAGTCAAGTTTGTTACGATTTGGCGAAAGTACCTGTATTTTTTTCTAAATGAATTTTCCAGTTCAGGCAAAATTTAAACTGAGCGTGCACAAGGAGATACAAACGTCCAATTTATTTTCTTTGCTAACGAACAAAATAATGGGCCTATGAATGTCTTTGAAGAAAAGAGTTGACTGGGTTTGTGAAACTCATTTTCAACATGGCGCTATATAAAATGATAATTTTCCATCAAAGTGATATTGAGAATTTCGCGGAAAATGTTCATTAGTTTTTGCCAAAAATCATATACCTTGCGATAACCACGACACTTTTAGTCAGTGGTGGATCCAGGGGGCGGGGCTCTCCCCTGGCAAAAATACACAGGTGAAAACACCTGGGGGAAAAGGGGGAAAAGGAAGAAATGAGTGCTCCTTACCCCCCCTTCCCCTCCCGCTTACTCACATACTGGCTGATTCGCCGCTAGATATTTTCTCACAAATTGAGGCCCCTCCCTTGCCGCCAAGCTGGATCCGCCCCCGGCATTTAGTAGTTATCAAACAAGAAAGGTCAATACCCTTTTTTGTAGTTATGTCAAGAGGAGTGAGGTACATTGAAGTATGATTTTATGCAAAAGATATTTCTTTGGCAACATTTTGCGACAATTTTGGTTAAAAAATCCCGAATGGACCAAAGATTATTGATAAAATGTTTGCATGACACAATGAACATTTCAAAGCAAAAATATAGAGGTCTATAACAAGTGGACAAAAGTAGACAAAGGTGTCATGTCCGTTACACACAACCTGTCGAATCTGTTGTGCTCAATCCCATAGATCTGACAAGGAAATGTGGAATCTAAAAATTTAACAACATGTATGAAAGTTTTGTAATTTTTAAAGTATGTGAAATATTGATTTATCCCGATTTATGTTTCTTGAAAGTGCGAATTATGAAAGCTTACAACTAAAAGTACTTAACAAATGCCCTATTTAAAAAAAACATCAAATTTACAAGGCCTGGGGTATAAATAAATTAGTTGTTAAACTGTGTGTTTTATAGAGTGAGAATATACAACCTTCTGTTGCAACTAAATTAAACTATCTGAAACCTATGACATTCAAACTGTTTAGAGGAGGGCTACCACCAGTGGCGTAATGAGCAAAAAGTTTTGGCGGGGGGTGGGGGGGGGGGGAGAAAAAAAAGTAAAATTTACAAAAAAGTGAGAGAAAAACCCCCCAGAAAATCATGTCATATCAGCAACATTTGTAAATCACTGGTATCAAATTAGAAATAAAAACCACGTTTGAATGTTATTGGGAGGGGCAACCCCCCCCCCCATTAGTAGCCTTCGCCAGTGACTATATATCACAAAATTAGACCCTAATTCTCGGAAGTGCTCGTGGAGCGCCAATACCCGAATATAGGATCCTTTCCCACGTTGTTTCATATCCATTACGATAAAAGAGTCCCTTTTCTCAGTCCAACAGTCCAATCCAATCCAGGAATTTATAAAGCGCCGATCTAGTCGCCTAATCAACAGTCCAATGAAAAACAAATTGATGTCCCTTATACTAGCCAATGTGTTGGAATTCACTTACTAAAATATGTTTCAAGACTATTGATTTTACTTAAAAGTATCTTAAATGAACAACAACTCCAACAAAAAGTATAAATAGTATGTCCGTTACGCCTGGAAATAACTGTATTGGACAAGCAGGCGATATCAATGTCAAAGGAGGTGGGATGGGAGGGAACATAATTTTTGTTTATGCTAAGAAAATTTAACCATCGTGACTGGCTATATTATACAAAGGTATGAACACAGTGCATATAGGCACTAAACGTAACAAAATAATGGCTTGACGTAAGTAATCGTATCATGACATATTTATGGGTGTCCTTATTAAAAAAAGGGGAAAAAGCCTGGAAAAGGATCTTTCCAGTCTTATAGCGCTAGCCTATACTTTCTTTCTTTCTCTCTAAATTTGGCTCTTTCTTCCTTCCTTCCCTTTTTTCTCCCTTTATTTCTTCTGTCCTTTTCCTCGTTCTCTTTCTATTTTCAATTTTAAGTCGTGAAATTATCATCGATATCTTCTTTTTTTTCGGGGGGGGGGGGGGGGGGATAGCAACCTTACCAATACGCCAGACAGTGTTGCTTTCTTATTGTTTTTCAACACCGACCTCAGGTGACTGCTCACGTGACTTTTATTTTGATCACATGCTCCCGTCGGCAGATCAGAGTTTTCGTGTACTGTAGTTTTTACGTTCGCGATCGCGATCGCGAGTTGAACTGAGTGAGAGTGAATCTGTGATCCCACTGCCGGAATTGGAATTGGAAGGTAGAACTGTTTGTGTAGCTGTCAGACAGAAAGGGCCGTTTCGAAGCAGATATTTTACTGACTGAGGATAAGTTAGAATTTTGTCAGAAATGGCGATCCTGCACGCATCTGAACGTAAGTTGACTCATTTATCATGTTCATTTTTGATGCAGAGTTTGTTCCACTGATAAATTAAATGTTGTGAATGTTTTGTTATGTCTTAATAAGACTCTTATGACTGTTTGATTTCAACTTTGACAGTATTCGGTAAAACTTAAACTTAAAATAAACATTATTTACATTTTAGAATTCGAGTTATAATTGTGGAATTTTGAACATTATTAAACATGATGAACTATAGATCTAGACCTAGATCTATGCACAATTAATTGGAAGCTTGAACTTTAAGTTTGAAGATGATCGAAGTTGAACTTCGGTTACTTGCTGTAGAGTCTAGGCCTAATCCTGTGCATTCTTTGTAGTCAACTTGTACTTGATTATGTACAGTACATATTCTTCAATATTTGCATGGGTATATCTGTAGGCCTATGTGGATACTCCTAGTGGAGTGGATACGTCACATTTACAGGACTGGATCACAAGGTCCGGGATTCGAGTCCCGCCGCGGCACTAATGTCCTTTGGCAAGACATCAATCTACATTTGCCACACTCGACCCAGGTGATGTAAATGGGTACCTGGCAGGAATGAATTCCTTGAAATGCTAGAGCGCTGTATTTTGTAATGGCAGCCATGCTAAAGCTGGGGTAATATTTGTAGAGCGCATTGGAGTGTCAAGTCTGACAGACATGAGCGCCATATAAGAACCCATTATTATTAACTGAGCATTGTGGCGTGTGCCTGTAATCCAGCTAACAATGGAAGTTACAAACTGATTCAGCCGAGGACTCAAAGGTTCGAAACTGAGTCACGTCTTTCGAAAATAATTAAAACAATTTTCGGGTATTATTACTTGTTTTTGGCTTCTCTTGAAATTTACGTGCACAGCGTTCATTTTTTAACAATGGAATTATTAACACCTGCAAAAAAGATATTGCTACTGTCCTGAAGTCTCAGTTACAGCAAGATGGTGATGTTTGAAGGTCGGTCCCCAGACGTAAATAATCATATCTGATTGATACACGTCTGTAAAAAGCCAATACACACACACAAATATTGTGTTTCCTTTCTTTTCTCTCCAGCCTACTACAGGTTTGTGGTCCTCTTTTTCAACTGCATGCTGACCTTTGGGACGTACTTCTGTTTTGACATGCCCAGTGTGTTGCAGGGGGTCTTCCAAGGGGTAAGCACTATGTAAAGCTATATAATGAGTGATAGAAGAATGGGTAAGCCAGGGCTTAAATTAGTCCAAGACTATGGCCGTGGATGCCCTTTTGATTGGCCTCAATGCCCCTCTCATTGGCCTTGGAGATTTTTTGTACCCTTTCCAATTCTTCCTATTTGTGCTGTAATATAGGAATGTGCCCTACAGAAAAGTGCCCTACAGAAAAGTGGCCTTGCCCTAAAAATATTGAAATTTAAGGCCTGGCAAGCATTTTGCTGAAGAAGATAAGAAAAAGGAGAACAGAGAGACAGAGAAAGAGATTACAACATAAATCACTTTTGTGAAGCATTTGTAACCAGGGACCCATTTCACAAATCCTTTTTTCAATGACAATTGACAAAAATCAGTGAAAAATCTGCTGATAGCCATTCAGAAGCAAGGAATTAACTAGCTTATAACAAAAACTGTAACTTGTCACTGTTGACAAGTTTTGTGAAATGGGGCCCAGATCTAATGATAGGTGATATAACCCTAGCCTTACTTTACCAAAAAAACTGCAGGGAATATCTTTACGGAACTTTACGGATTTACTCAATATAGGTCTTGTCTGAACACTTTATGCTTACCGTACTATAAAACACAGGTTTGTTCAAAGTACAGTCAAAATTGTCTATAGCGACCGCCCAAGAGAAACACAAAAAGTGTTCTTTGTAGACAGGTTCCTTTAGTACATGTTTCAATGAGAAACCTTTACAAAAGAAACAAAAAATGTGGTCTTTAAAGACAGGTGGTCACTTAAGCAGGTTTGACTGTAATATATTAATTTTGAACTTTCATATCCCTAGAAATAATGGGAAAAAATATGTTTGTATTATTACTCGGTTTTGGCTTCCCTTCTTGAGATTTACGTGCACAGCATTCATTTTTTGACACCTGCAAAATGATATTGCTACTGTTCTGTGGTCAGTGATGAAGTCTCGATTACAGCAAGAACAAGATCGATACTAGCAAATATTAATTCAGTTTCAAGTTCCAAGACCAAGGGATTTTTTTTATGGGATCTTCATAGAGAGGAAGCCATTATGTACTCTTTTTAAGTGTTTCGTTCAAGTGCCATCTAATTATAGTTTACTTTTTTTCCTTCATGTATGCTCTCAGAGCCTGGAGCATTTTTGCAAAATGAATACGGCACTTAATAGTCAGCAAACTAATTTCTACTGTTTCTACATCTTTGATTACTAAATGAGCTTGTACTTCAAAAAAACTTTGTTCAATTTAGATCTGGTGTGAACACTGTATGCTTACTATAAAACACAGGTGTTGTTCAAATATGAGTAATTTCTACTGTTTCTACATCCTTGATTACTAATTGAGCTTGTACATAGGCGTGTTATATGAGTGGAGGCCTGGAGAGTGGGATTTTTTTTTAAAGTACAGAATCTCCCATTGAGTTTCTACATGTGTTATGTCTCAATCAAAGTGGCAGATCACCTACTTCGTCTCTGTGACGAATTCCATGCCTACTTATTATTATTATTATTATTATTATACAAGAACATTGTTATAACAATCTCTTATTCTAACAAGGTGATTTAGCTGGCCCTGCTTTCTATTGTATCAAGTTGTTTTGTAGCCATGCAAAGTTTCGTTATAAGACGGTAATTGGAGCCAAGGAGTTTGCTTTGAAGATGTTCCACTTAATGTCTTCTTGGTTTCTCTTTCGCAGAACATTACATGTGTGAATGCGTCTCAACACTCAAACGAATCAGACTGTGAGGAGGGGTTGGGGATGTCCTACGTACAATACAACCTCCTCTATGCCATCTACGCTTGGACGTAAGTTGCCAGTGGTATGTTTGTCAGGGCCGGGGCATCTGGTGGTGGTTATTTTACCTGACAGCTAAGGAGGCAATAAATGCTTGGTAGTAAGCAACCAGAAGACCGACGGCTTTAGGTCCTCTCCGAGGGACCTGGTAATGAGGATTAATGCCTTACCAAAGGGCACTAGCGCAACGACTAGGTTTCGAACCCGGGTCACCGGATTACGAGACCACTGCTCTACCGACTGAGCTATCGCGCCTCGCGCATCTAGTCCACTGCTCGGACTGTTTACGTGTCCTGCGCCCAATCGGCTGAGAAAATAACACACCCTCAACGCTAAACCGGAAACGGTCCTTGTCTGTATTTTTGGGGGTCGCGCGATCTGTTTGGGATGCATAAGGGAGGAGGACATAGATGATTGAAGAATGAACAAAACAAATAAAAACAAGGAAAGAATCTGGACCAAGGAGGGGGGGGGGGGGGGGGGGGGGGAGGGGGGAATCCTGATATCCTCAGGGAGGGGTACATTCTAGTCATTCCTTTCTCATTTTGTTCCTATCTCATATTTTGTGTGGGTATTTTGGAATATTTTAATTCAGATTCATACTCATTAATTTATTTCATCTTGCAAACCAGAACATAAATGTTTTTTAAATGCAGTTTTGTAGTGAGGTGGTGTCATCATTTGATTTGAATTTTAGTTGTTCCTTTTATTTTTAAGCTGAATAAGATAATAATATAATATAGATCATGTAGGAGTGCTAAATACAAAACGTACCATAGCGCTTACAAAAGTACAGAAGTGAAAAAAAACATTAAAAACTAGTTTTTACAAAAACTTTTATTCTGTGTTAAATTTTGTATAATAATTTTGTCTACCGTATTGTAGAGTTTCAAAGACGTTGAAGCTGTATAACTTGCCATCTACATGTATATATACAGGCATATAATAATATAAATGAATGCAGTTATAATCTCACTGTATTTGTCACCCCCCACCCTCTCTCTCTCTCTCTCTATCTCCCTTTCTCTCTCTCTCTCTCTCTCTCTCTCTCTCTATCTCCCTTTCTACCTCTATCTCCCTTTCTCTCTCTCTCTCTCTCTCTCTCTCCCTTTCTCTTTGTCCTATTCTCACATTTCATATCACCAAGTACTATGTTTCTATTTGAATGTATTTGTGTGCTCTCACTTTCTGTATTTACGTTACACCTTTCTTTTCATTTCCTCTCATTTGTTTTGGTACCAGGAATGCTGTGGTTGTGATTGGTGCCGGATTCCTGATTGATAAACTTGGAAATCCTGGTGAGTGTTTCTCCTGAAAAAAACAGCCCATATCCAAAGACAAAGTGACCTACTTTTCACCCATGTGCTCTGTAATTGCCAACCAAAATATTGTATCACAGGATTAATTTACACATATGTGGTACAACATTTCCACCTACGGCACATAACCTAGGGTTTAAAGGGATACTTTAGTTTTGGTATAGAGGGCGCTACACAAAATAATTTTTTGGTGAGATAATAAAAAAAACTGAGTGTCAAATTTGAAAGAGCATACAATATAAATGACAAAATCATCTTTGTTTGATCAAAATCGGTTCAGAGACGGCTGAAATATCCATGAATATAACCATTATAATAAGAATAAGAGCAATAACCATGCACTTTAAAGGCATTTGCAGTCTTGAACAAGAACTCAACTGTCCCTTTAATTTTATTAAAGGGTTTAACCAACATATCCAGTAGTATGTTCAGAAAACTAGTAAAATCTGGTTTCTATTGATTTTCAGAATATCTCTCTTTGAGTTTTGGTGACTAGATTATTTATGATCTCACCTTGTTTTTTTTTTTTTTGGGAGGGTGGGGGGGGGGGGGGGGAATAGCTCAAAGACCAATTATGAAAAGTTAATGCGTACATCAACCTTATTTCTCTTGTAACATAAAAAAGTTAACTCTATTGTGACAAAGGATTAAGCATTATAGACAATACTTTAACAACTTTTTTGATAAATTTTTTCCCTCTCCTTCTCTCTCCCTCTCTTTCACCCTCTCCCACCCTCTCTCTCTCTCTCTCTATCTCTCTCTCACCCTCTCCCTCCACCTTTCTCTCCCTCCACCTCTCTCTCCCTCTCCCTCTACCCTCCCGCCATCTCTTTCTCTCTCTCTCTCTCCTCTTATTCTCTCTCCCTCTCCATCTCTTTCCATCTCTCTCTCTCTTCCTATCTCTCTCATTCTCTCATTAGTCGGTCTGTTCATATTCTCTAGTCTGTGCCTGTCGGGGTCCTGTATCTTTGCCCTGGGTGCCAGCCTCAAGGGAACGCCGGCCATGTTTCCCGTGATGCTCTTTGGGCGTCTCCTCTTTGGGTCTGGCAATGGGTCTCTTACGAGTGAGTACCCTGGGGCCTGGGGGGGGGGGGGGGGGTTCACAAAGATCCTAATTTGAACTCATCTCTAAGTTGGACTTGAATATTATGGAGAGCCATTTGTAGCCTTATAATGAAATATATTCAAAAGCAAAAATTCAAGTATTTTAGACTTTTCATAAATTCTACATCAAGAATATGAAATCTCCTTGGTAATAGAAAATATGAATCATTTGAATCAACATTTTATGCCTTTTAGAATAAGTTTTACAAAATATTTTCAAGGATGTTAATGGATTTCCATAATTGCTAAGTCCAACTTAGAGATAAATTCAACTTGGGATCTTTGTGAAACACCCCCTGGACTATCCTAGATGATGTCAAGTTTGGTTTTGAAAAAAAATGATCTGGCAGTCTTTATATAATTACACTATCAGGGAATATAGATACATGTACCATGGTTTCAATTGGGAGAATGCAGTAATATGGCTCATCGTTCATTTCCATTTAGTTAAAGTCTATTTAAAGTGTTGGGAGCCCCAAGTTTGCCAAAAATTTGATGGCAAACTTTCGTTTAAATTGTATTATAATATGAAAGAGGATGTCATTAAAAACACACTTCTGCAAAAAAAAAAAAAAAAAAAATTGAAGACAAATAATGATGAAAGAAGACATAATTTAGGTTTAAAAAAAAAACACCTAAATTCTGTATTCTTTCATCAATTTTGACTTCAAGCACATATATAAGGAGGCTTTTGTGGCTGCAGCCCAAAACTGTTTGTATTTTGTTTGTGGTTTAATGATTTTATCTAATTCCTTTTCAGGACTTCTCAATCAACACAAAAGAATAAAAATGGTCCTTTTAGGAATATCCACACATGGTTGTACCACAAATCTACTCTCAAACTATAATTTGTATAATGTAGAGTTATCTTTGAAAGTAGTGTACTTATAATCATACAATATAGAACTAAGTCATGTATAACTGTGCAAAATGCTAAACACACTCATAATTTATTGTGTGTTTTTTCATTCACAGTTGTCCAGAATAGAATTACCGCCTTCTGGTTCAAGAACAAAGAATTAGCTTTTGCTTTTGGTATAACGCTGACATTCTCAAGACTGGTAAGAATAATTATTACTTATTCAACAATTTAAAACAATTAATTCATTTACATCATGTAAATATTTTAGCATTAAATAGCATAGGATTAAATATGTGTACTTGGAAAATGCTGAGTGACTTTTCTGACAATTATTTGTTCGAGATTTGAATTTAAAGTAATTATCCCTGAATGAATTTGGGGTAAAACCATCCCATTTCACTTGTAAGTTTTGTAGTGATTTGGCACTAAAAGCTTTTCATAACCTCGTATCCATTATATCCTTTGTCATGCCAAAGCCTTGAAAGTTTAATCATGTGAGACTGTGAATTGAAATTGCTCCTATTTACAGGAAAACAAATAATCTTTTGAAATCCTTTCAAAAACAAATATTTCGGTAACTGTTGAAATGCTATGTGCATCAAAATGATCTGGCAATTAGTTCAATTCCTTTCAACCTTTATTAATGAAATTTCCTAAAGTTGCCTAATTAGTATACCTAATTATGTTTACATTGTATTCTTCTTTATCACTCCATGGGGAAGGTATGTAATATTTTTAATGGATCATATAAGTCATGAGTGTAAATAAAAACAAATTAATTTTATTTCATTTGAAAGAAACTTGAAGCAGCATCTTATATCTAAACCTATAACTGTTTTCAAACTTATGATTTTGTAATGATTATTTCCAATTGTATTACGTGCTATGAACGATGTCCCTGTCATGTATGTGTCTTTGTTAGCTTTGTTTGTATAAGTAAATATCTTAACTACTGTTCCGGGAACTATGCCTCCACAAGGCCATTCGGCTTTTTTTTTGTTCCCTATTTTCATTTTCTTATATTAATTTGTTTAAATTTGTATTTATTGGTATATAATGATCGACCAGCAGCACAAAGCTGAAAGGATCAATTTACAAAAAATAGAGTGATGTAAATTATTATATACATCTACAATAGTATAACAAAGCATACATGTAATAAGTAAATCAGTAACATAATGACAATACCAAGTAATTATTTTGCGTTCGTTCATATAATACATGTATGTGAAATATATTGCAAATGCTTATTATTGTATATATCTTTGTATAGTATAACAAAGCATAGTAAGTGAATCAGTAACCTAATGACAATACCAAGTAATTATTTTGCGTTCGTTCATATAATGCATGAAATATATTGCAAATGCTTATTATTGTATATATCTTTGTATTGGTTCTTTTGAAAATGGAAACGAATAAAACAAATCAAATTGAATTGAATTGAATGGAATTGAATTAGATGGAATGGAATGGAATTTAATTGAATTGAATTGAAATTAATTGGATTAATTGAATTGAATCTAAATGAATTGAATCAAATTTATAAACTCCACCATCCAGGGTAGCGTGCTGAATTTCTTCTTCACCAAGGAGTTTGAGGACGCCATGGGGTTGATGTGGACCCTCTGGGGTGGGGCGATCCTGTGCCTGACGGGCTTCCTCGCTGCCATAGTAACAAGTATAATGGATACCTCAGGAGTTAAGCAACTTGGAATGGTACATAAAAATAGTAATGATAAGATGATGTATTTATATATCGCATTTTCCATATACAGTCAAACCTGCTTAAGTGACCACTTGTCTACAAAGACCACATTTTTTGTTTCCCTTGAAAATGGTTACTCATTGAAACATGCACCAAAGGAACCTGTTCACAAAGACCACATTTCTGTAAAGACCACTTTACTTGTCTCCCTTGGGTGGTCTTTATAGACAGGTTTCACTGTATATGTATGTGTGTGTTGCATGTTGTCCATGGAGATTTGATTCTAGGACCATTACTTTTACCCTTTGAAAAGTTTCCCTTGGACAAGAACTTATTCTACCTTGCATGACTGTTAAATAGGACAACTATATGTGGACAACTTCTCTTTAAAACAAAATTACAAACAAAATCATTTATATTCAAATGGAATTATCACCCATGGGGTCACGCATTAAACATTGTGGCTCTAAAGGTCAGATTGCCTCCATTTAAATCTCTTGTACAATGTGAAGACCGTTTATTAAAATCTCTTGTAATTCGCCAGGAAATGAAAAAAATATCTCTGAATAGATGTGTGGGAAAAACAGGCGTTGCACGATGATGATGAATGTAATATCCACTTTTGTCTCGCATTTATTTCATGATAGGAAGACGAGGTGAAAGAAAACTCAAGAAAGTGAGACTTGTAATTGGCCAGGAAATGAAAAAAATATCTCTGAAGTGTGGGAAAAACAGGCGTTGCACGATGATGATGAATGTAATATCCAATTTTGTCTCGCATTTATTTCATGATAGGAAGACGAGGTGAAAGAAAACTCTAAGAAAGTGAGACCGAGAGATATTTTAGAATTCACTCTACCGTATTGGCTGTTGGCTCTTTCCATCATGTTCTTCTACAACGGTGTATTCCCATTTGTAGCTGATGCAAGGTAATCTTTGAAATTTTGTCAATACTTTAGTTTAAATGATGCTGCAGTCAGAAATGCCTTTTAATCTAAGTTCAATCTAAACAAACATTTTTAAATATCTAATAGCTTCACATTTTCAATTTTTTGTTTTTCATCGTTGACAATATATGTATTTAATTCACTAATATATTTACTTGTTTGCTGATGGTAATATGCTGATGATTTTCGTTTCCTTTTGTGCTTTATTTGTATTCTTTATGTGCTGTGTATTGTGCAAGACATTGGTTTTTCAATGCTATTTCCCAGGCACAATTTTACTATACATTATATCTTTGTATTTTTATTAAATCAATAAATTAAATTGGAATTGAGAAGATGGGGCTGAGTTGTTATGTCAGAAAATATACACTGCATGTTAAAACATCTCTGAAAATTTTTCTTGAAACAATAAAGGGTAACTATATAATATACTTTGTGAAAGTTTTGTTTCCCAATAGAACTTGTTTCATGGCAAATTTATCAAGAAAATAAAGGGTTAACTTGATGACTGCTAAAAACTCTTATTTTGCATAGGTTTCATACAGCGACCGTCCACTTCCTGTGAGCAATTGGTTTAAACTCTAAATATGGCACCACAATATTTTTATATTTTCAGGACAAAATGTTAAACCGACTACATGTTTTCTTGTTTATATACATGTGATTGTTGTCGTCCCGAACAAATGTAGTTTAATAATAACTAAAAAATACTGATTTTTTTCCCCCACCTTTATACCTTGCAAAGCACTGTGAAACCAATTTGTGTGGGAGCACTATATAAACGAACATACTATTATTATTTGCTCTCTCTTCTTGTCTCCTTCACAGTGATTTCATACAGCAGAAGTACGGTTATTCATCTAAATCTCCTGTCCCTGCCTACCTAGCCGGTGCCGTCTATGACGCGTCTCTCGTCCTCTCTCCTTTTCTGGGTGTCCTCATAGTAAGTGTGATTGAACAGCTTTTACATGGAATAATATACCTTGTTACAGTGTATATACCTCACTTAAGAAATCCAGCCATCTGAATGGTCAAAGTTGGAGTCGTGGTTTTAGCCATTCCCGTAGAGAAACAAATAATGCCCTAACCGATCAATAGTCCAAGAGTGGGATCCCTCAAAGTTCTGGTTACCGGGAAAATAATAAAATTTTGCTGCGATACCCATTGGTTTACGTGTTAAAATGTTCTTTGAGCAAGCGGACACCATACAGTGCTTTTTGTCTGCGATTCACAACTGATCGAAAATTTCAGTCCTTTTTCCGGCAAAGATAAACAGACAGTGTCTCAGATTTTCTGTGATGTTTTAATCAATCTTTACTCAATAAAAGGATAAGGTAAGAATTCTTGTTAGATTTTTGTTTCAATTCGGCATATAAAAGACATATCGACTGCTTTAATATTCGAGGTCTGGCTCCATCCAGGCGCGCCTCAGGGTAATGGCAGGATCTGCGCGAGTTCCAGAGAGCATATAAAACCAGCCAGGCCTCTCAAAGCAGTCGATATCTCTATAATGTTGAGCTTAAAGGCATCGTTTATCAATGTTAAATCTGAGATGCATGGCCCTACGTGTTATCAGTGTCTGTGATATTGTGTAATATTGAAGCCCTAAAAAAAAATGCGCTTCAAAATGATCATGAAGTGCCTCAAAAAGTAAAATCTTTGAGTGACCGGTTTTACCATACTCATTTCCCCTAAAAAACTGTAGTGTTATGAAAACCGTTGGGAAAACGCAAAAATTGATTTTGAGTTCCAATCTTAAATATCTTGATGATAAGACAGGCTTTTAAAAGTCATGGGATTCCTGACTGACCTAAAGGTTTATAATTATCATTGTAGCATGAGCTAAATCCAGGATTTTGTTTCAGAATCTGAGGCAAAGTTACCCAATCCCTTTCAAGTATAACAACAATATTTGCCCCTCTGCATCGATCGTCTTGTTATGAAGTTTCTTCATTTTTTCTCCATATTGTTGTATGCGTAGCGGGGCGGACATTTAAAGAATTTTTTGAATAACAGATATTTGATGATTGTTGTGATATCACAGTTGTCTTTATTTGAAATCCTATATTTTCTTTTTGAGAATAGTAAAAGGTATTATGTATTGTTTATTCTTTTTGTTTCTAGGATCAGTTTGGAATGAGAGGGATACTTGCTCTAACATGTGCCATAGCGACCCTGCCTGTCTTTGGTCTCTTGGCCTTCACCACAGTGTTTCCTCTGGTCTCTACCCTATGGTTGGGGGTCACGTACTCATTCGCTGCGGTAAGAATCCTTCCATTTCACATGCCACACAAATAATCTCCCTGTGCCACATTGCATTTATTATGGGATAGATTTATATTTTATTCAACTGTTTCCAGTGCAATATTATACAAATGTTTACTGCTTTGAGGGGCACAGTAAATACTATGGGCCAAGGTGAGCTTGGAATTGTGCTATGCCCGGAGATGACAGTCGAAGTGCATAGCATCTTCCTTGACTTCCAGAAAGCTTTCGACCGAGTACCTCATCGCCACTTGCAGACCAAGCTCGAGCATTATGGCATAAGAGGAGACACATTACATTGGACTATGTCGCTACTTTCCAACAGGCAGCAAGCAGTTGTCAAGGGCTCCCGGTCATCTTGGGTGCCTGTTACCTCTGGGGTACCTCAAGGTTCAGTGATCGGACCAGCCCTCTTTTTGCTGTACATCAACGACATCACTGCAAATATCCAGTCCAAGATGCGCCTTTTTGCTGACGATAGTGTGATCTACAGAGAAATTCACACTAAGAATGACACCTCCATCCTTCAGCAAGACCTTCAAACCTTGTCTGACTGGTCAGCGAAATGGTTCATGGCTTTCAATGTCAAGAAGTGCGCTTCCCTTACCATCACGAGGAAAAGAACACCAATACAGCATGACTACCGGATTTCCAACGAGATAATACCCAGGATAGACAAGTTCAAGTATCTCGGGGTAACTGTAACCAAGGACCTTCGCTGGAATACACACTGCCAACTCCTACTGAACAAGGCCAACAAAACCCTTGGGTTGCTGCGTAGAACCCTGTCACCATGCACCAAGGATGTGAAGTCAAGAGCATACACAGCCCTGGTTCGACCGCAGCTAGAGTATGGCGCTGAAGCCTGGAACCCCCACACTTCTGGTGCTGCCGAAGGTCTGGAAAGGGTACAGAAAACAGCTGCTCGTTTTGTCTTCCGCGACTACCGAAGATCCACGTCAGCTACAGGGCTTGTGTCCCAGTTGGGATGGGATAAACTGCACACACGCCGTCTTCTAGCACAAAGCACCATGCTCTTTAAAATACACCACCAGCTAGTCAACATTTGTCTTCCTCACCTCATAACCAAAGCTACATACATCAGCAGAAGAGACCACACACTCAAGCTCTCTGTTTCTGAGGCAACAATAGACTCCTACAAATACTCATTTTACCCCCGCACCATTCGCATCTGGAATCAACTACCATTCACTGCAGTTACTGCCCCAACAGTTGCTGCTTTCCAGATGACCGCCCTCCCTGTCATCAGAGGGTTGGAACCTCCTGTAGGTTCCAGAATGCTGTAAACCATATAGCAGCATGATTTTTTGTTGTCTGCACCTTCACCTGCTGTCACAACACATCCCATCCCAGTATAGCTTGGAAAAGCTGCTTCAGGGATTACCTCATCAAGTATCAAGCACAGTTGCGAGATCACCGAGGGCCATGGTTTTTAATGTGACGCAAAAAGAAGCAGTCAACCTTTGTTTTATATACCGCATCCTTCGTTAGCTCAAAAATTGATTCTCATCGATCGCTCTTTCGAAATTTCGTTCGGTGTACATGTACTGGTATGATATGGTGCCTGCCACGCGCCCGCGTATCTAAATTGCCATAATACTATGCCCGGTCAATATTTTTCACTATACTGCCCGGCAGTTCGTAGTGAATTTCATGCCCGCAAATTTGACCAATCAGAGGCCTAGAATCTAGACATACATGTACGGTATATAATAATCCATACCGGTGTTATAAGGATTGTCATGGACCTAATCGAGACCGGATATTTGAAAAGCGATAGTGTTGCACCAAGCAATTCTTCCGTCAATTGGCGCCTATTTTTTTGTTGAAAAATGGCATGCGTTGCAAACGAGCAACTGTGGACAGATGCGAAAAAAGCAAGCAAAGTGTTAAATCAAAATAACCCTTCTTTAATATACAAAACAACTTGCCGGAGTCACCTTGGATAGCCTAGCAAAATTTAATGGCACAGAAAGATGCTTCCTGAATGCAAAAGGCATAATTGTTGGTGATATCACTGAAGTAAATTTTGTAATTAAGATTACCAAATTATAGTTTTGATATTACTTATCCTAATGAAGGTCATAGTGGTATTTTACCAGCTCCTTTTCCAAATGAGACGTTCTACCCTTTTCCATAAAATGATAATTTTCTATAAGTATGCGTTTTGCCAATACATTAAGCTACCTTTCTTAGTATTTGCATATTATTTGGCACCAAGTACAAAATGAAAGCTGTTCAAAAAGCTATGCACAAAGCAAATACCGGTACTATACCTACCTGGCTACCTGGCTGCCGCCGTCAGTTGCTGGCGATTGGCGACCACATCTGCACATAAATATAAACCCAATTTCAAACCTAACCATAGGCATAACTTTATACTTTTTACGAAATGAAGCCCAGAGCAATTGCCCAGTAAATGTCAGGTCATCTAGGTTTGACCTTATCTGGTATTTTGTTCATCCCAATCTCAGGCAAGTCTATGGCCCTCCATACCTCTGGTGGTTTCTCAGTCTACCGTCGGCACGGCGATGGGCATCACAACATCCATCCAAATGGTTGGCATCGGTATATCCAACGTCGTCATCGGTGCGATCCTCGGCGACGCAAATAAGTAAGTTCTCCATTTGAAAAGAAGTGGGCAATTCCAGCATAACGGACACGACATTCAGATTTTTTGTTGTTGGTGGTTATTAAGACAGTTTTAAACAAAATGAAGAGTCCTGAAGCATATTTCAGTCAGTGATTCAGACACATTTCAAATATCATCCACATATTGAATTAGTTGAAGAGAAAATGGACTCTCTGCTTTGCTACTGTAACGGACAGGACACAAAATGAACCAGAAACTTATATTCACTTTAATTCAGTTTGTGATTTTGGGGGGTTTCAATTAAATCTTTTTTTTTTTTAGGTATTAACAGTATAATCATACTCTTAACATACTCTAAACACAATGTAAAACAATTGGATTATACATTTCCTTGTAATAGCTAAAAATGTAGCAAAACGGATATGACAGATCAAGATTAATGGATGTAACACTTATGTCCGCTTTTTATAAACCCCTATAACTTTGCTTTAACACTTTCAATAGGCCTGTCCTCATCAGCTGGAGTTTGCGAAATAACGCGCTATTTTCAGACTCGTGCCTAAATGTAGTCCAATCCTGCTGATATACCTGCTCAAAGTGAAGAGGAGGCGCAATAGCTCAGTTGGATGCGCTAGTGACCTTTGGTAAGGCATTAATCCTTATTACCAGGTTCCTCGGAGAGGACCTAAAACCGTCATTGCATTGCAAATTCTGTTGTGAAAGATGGCTGTTTAAATGCCTTTTCTTACCACGTTCCCCTCTATTTATGTATTTCAGACAAACCACTGAAGAGACGTTGCATAAATGGACCCTTACAATGATCTACCTTTTTGCCAATATTGGTGCCTGTGTCGTCACAACTATACTTCTAAATATTGCAGATTCAAGGAGGGTAAGTTGAGCCTTATCTAATGTTTGATTTGTTGTGTGGAAAACAAACCCCTTAAGGCCAAACTTCTTCTATATCGGTAATTTATTGTTTCTAATGCCAAGTGAACAATACAGATAAGAGCATGAAACATACACTGCATAAAGGGATCCGGTAACTTTGTCCCAGATTCTGAAACAAAATCCTGGATTAAGCTCATTCTGCAATGATAATTATAAACCTTTAGGTCAGTCAGGAACCCCATGACTTTTACAAGTAGATCGCCTGTCATATTATCAAGATATTTTGTTTTCCTAACACTACAGTCTACTGGGGAAAACGAGTATGGTAGAACCGGTCACTCAAAGATCTTTACTTTTTTGAGGCACTTCTTGATCATTTTGAAGCGCAATTTTTTTAGGGCTTCGATATTACACCATATCAGAGACACTGATAACAGGTAGGACCGTGCACCTCAGATTAAACATTGTTAAACGATGCCTTTAGCTATAAAGTGAGAAGCTATGTAGCTTCTTTCCACTTTTTACCTTTTAAGGGTACTGAAGTGTGTTTCTCTTCACATTTTTGTAGCACGCATCTACCCCGTGAATGAGCCTTAAAAATATTTTTACAAGCATTGCTTCTTTTTGGTTTCCCCATATTTCACGTTATGTTAATTACAAACAAATTGTTGATTATGTAATATTTTATTGTACTTTAGTCTTCAATTTATTCATTTAATTGCATTTCGTTTTTGAATGTATTGTTTGTACAATTACTTGCGCAAATTTATTTGTGAAATATGGAAATAAATTCAAATCAAATCAAATCAATCTTTGTCTCCTAGGGGCGTGTCCTGAATCAGAGCAAAAATCAGCGTCTAGCCGTGGCTCATCAAAGACTGCAGGAGGAGATAGATGATGGGAACGAACCGATCACAGACTACGTGGATTCCTTTGAGCCTGACCCACTTCTGATTCCTCCTAGAGGCACCATTAATAGGAAGATATGAAGCTACGTTAGAGGTGGATGATGGGTTATGTTGGGGTCAAGTCTTGGTGTGCGTTCATAGGCTTTTTTGTAAAGAAAGAATCTGGAACTGAAATACTCACTGAAAATGCCGTTTGGAAACACTCTTTCACTTCTGAACGCAGGCTTAAGCCTTTATGTTTAGTTCCAAATTCTGTTGTTGTTTTAAGTTGGCTGGATCATGGCCTTTTGTGCTAAATATCAAACAAAAATCTTTTGAGGGTCTTAATGTTTGTCTACAATTAAAATATTTCAAAATCTATCCGATATTATATATTTCAATTATATGAAATAGCTTATGTTTATTTTATATTTTATATACTTCAATATTATAAAATAGCATCTAGAGTCTAAACTATTTTGGTTTGTAGACTAACGTTCCAGCCCTCAATAGAAGATAACCATGCACTGGGATGTCTTTGAAAGAATGTTTGTGACTGCAATTCCACATTTTCACAAGATGGCAGAATGCCTTAGTTTTTGCAAAATAGTCTTTCATAACACATCGTTTTTAAAATCATGTTTAAAACCTCATGGATGCAAGCTTGTTATAAACTAGATGTGTTCAAAAACCCTGATTCTGGTATGAAAAATGTGAACAAACAAACAACAACAACAACTTATGCAATCTTGGATTGGCTGTGGCCAGAGCTTCAATCAGTGCAGAATTCATTGTTCCATCTAAACACTGAATAGCCATCATGATGACACCATTTGCCTACATGTGAAGAGGAGCAGACTATGCAGCATCTCCTAGCCTGCCCACATCTACCAGGCCCCTGCACGCAAGTGTGACAATATCTTGTGTTTATGAGACTTACAAGTTATAACACTGTACTGCCTATTCAGATAGAGGGCGCTGGACGACTAAATAAAGATAGACGCTTTAAGTCAGACATCTTTGTGGGTCAGGTCATTGATTGGCTGTAGAACTTCTGTGCGATGTGGTAAATAAGATCTGGAAGCACTGACCCCCTGCACGATGCAATGCATCCAACACTGGATTAGGACAATCTTAGCAAGAGGGTCATTCCATGTCAAATCACCCAAAAAATCTGAAAATCTTAACCCGACCATTTTTGATTTTGATGAAACTTAGTATATTTGTTGAGTGTGATCTCACAGCACCAAATCCAAAATTTTAGGTCAATCGGGTGAGGGGTTTGGGAGATACGGCCCACCAAATTTTGAGATTTTTTCAAAAATGGGGGTGGCGGGCCTACCTTTGAACCCTTGTATCTCGGGACCTAATGGGTCATTCTTCACAAAATTTGTATTGTTTTAAAGGGTATTCAATAAGGATTCCAAATCTGCCGCCATTTTGAAGATTCGTACATGTTGGGGTACTTTGACCTCTTGACCTCAGATTTGACCTTGAAATTGACCTTGTGGATCACGTAACTTTGACAACATTTTTCATGAAATGTAATCTCTGACATGTTCACTAAAACATATTAAAGTTTCAGAGATATAATATTTTTTGTTTTGGAGTAATAAGGATTGAAAGTATCCATGCTCACAGATATTCACAATAAACCCTATTATAATGTATACAATACATGCAATATGCACAGTACAACATACATCTTCCACATGTTTTTTTGTTTTAGTCACATCCATCCTAAATGTCAGCAGTACTTGAATAGAAATAAAATGACAAGTTCATATAGGCCTAAAGGGTTAACAGGATGTATGGCTTTAGACCTCTGAGTCGGTTCTAGGATAATTACCCCCTGGAAAATTCACCCCCTGAAAACTACCCTCTAAGGACAATTACCCCAGAGGTCAATTACCCCCCCCCCCCCCCCCTATTCGTTAAAGTGGAAGTCCAAACTGATAATAAGGTGGTTATAATCAAAGCAGATTTATTTTTTGGGGTATATTATTCTTGAGGGGTAATTTTCCCGGGGGGGGGGGGGGGGGGGGGGGGGTAATTGTCCTAGGGGGAAATTGTCCGGGTGTTGATTGTCCTTGGGGGGGGGGGGGGACAGATTGTCCTAGGAGGTAATTTTCTGAGGGGTAATAATCCTCTGGGTGTGATAGTCCTTGGGGGTAATTGTCCTCAGGGGGGGGGGGGGAATTTCCTGAGGGTTAATTTTCCAGGGGGGTAATTATCCTAGAACCGACTCAGAGGCCTAAAGCCATACATCCTGTTAACCCTTTAGGCCTATATGAACTTGTGATTTTATTTCTATTCAAGTACTACTGACATTTAGGATGGATATGCCTAAAACAAAAAAGCATGTGGAAGATGTACATGTTGTACTGTGCATATTGCATGTATTGTATACATTATAATAGGGTTTATTGTGAATATCTGTGAGCATGAATACTTTCAATCCTTATTGCTCCTAAACAAAAAATATTATATCTCTGAAACTTTTACATGTTTTAGTGTACATGTCAGAGATTACATTTCATGAAAAATGTTGTCAAAATTACGTGATCCACAAGGTCAATTTCAAGGTCAAATCTGAGGTCAAGAGGTCAAAGTACCCCAACATGTACGAATCTTCAAAATGGCAGCAGAATTGGAATCCTTATTGAATACCCTTTCCAACAATACAAATTTTGTGAAGATTGACCCATTAGGTCCCGAGATACAAGGGTTCAAAGGTAGGCCCGCCACCCCCATTTTTGAAAAAATCTCAAAATTTGGTGGGCCGTATCTCCCAAACCCCTCACCCGATTGACCTAAAATTTTGGATTTGGTGCTGTGAGATCACACTCAACAAGTACACTAAGTTTCATCAAAATCAAAAATGGTCGGGTTAAAACCATTGGGTGATTTGACATGGAATGACCCAAGAGTGAACATTGTGGCCTAGTGACTCGAGAAGAAGACTGAATAGCCAGGTTTGATGAATAAAGTGCTATAAAAAATCCAAACTGAACATGCCTTCCTTGTTTTATACATCAGAGCCCTGTCTTCTAAAGATTTTGCAATTGATTTAAATGCAAGATGATTATAGTAACTTTGCGATTCATCCGGGGACCCGTGATTGGGACGCATTGACCACAAGTCTTTTAGTCAGTCCAAAAGTTACGATTTGTTGTGTGAGGAGATGTAACTCTCTTTTGTAAGTCCGGGGCCAGGTAAAATGCTTTATAGTCAAACTGCTGTAGTACCCCCCCCCCCCCAGTATAGAAAGACCACCTGCCTATAAAGACCACATTTTTCGTCATCTCCCTTGAAGAGTAAATTACATTGAAGAAGAAATTAAAGGAACCTGTACATAAAGACCACCTGCCTATACAGATGGCTTTTCTGGTCTTGTCCCTTGGGTGGTCTGTATATACGGGTTTCACTATTTGTATGTTATTCACGTATAATGGAAGAATCCATTCAATGCATGTTTGTCACTTTCCCAATTATCTGTACAAATTTTGTTCTGTAATTGCCCATTTAAAAAAATAAAAATGAAATGATAGCTGAATGCTCATTCCAATTCTCACTAATTATTCTACCTATTGCCAAATTCTGATTTAAACTCTAACAATTACAAGAAAGCGAGTGGTACTATAAAAATCAAGTATTATTCTTAATATAATTATTGTGACATTATATGTACATATATGTAACAACTAACAACTGTTAATGAATTGTACTCTGATTCAATTTTATACAGAGTAGGGGGTACAGAGTAGCAATACAGTATTAATTTTTATTTTATTTTCTTGTGTAGTCACAATGAAATATATATTTTCTTTCTTGTGCAGTAACTATTCTATATCAAACTTTATTTGACATGTATATCAAGCTCTTGCCTATTTGAAGAAGAAAAAACATGAATTTAAAAGTAAATTTGTTTGTCAGATGAGCGCAGAAAATTGTGCCTATTGCCTTTTTGAATGACATGGAAATGGAACAATATGCATTCCACTTTTGGGTATGAAGTTTTAGGACAATTTATATTATTGACTTACTCTATATGATATTATATGTTAATATAATATAATATGAGATTGTGTGATACTCTCGCAACACCAGTACTGAAGTAAAATCATTAACCTTAATATCTTTCTAAATTAGCTTTTCAAGGCATTATGAAATGGATTTGTTTAGACTCGCATGCAAGGCCACTATCTCAACCATAAATGGTACTAGCTCTCAGAATCCGGCAATATTTTGTTAAATCTTGAATGGATCGAGAATGTTTTTGGTCCAGACCCTTGCCAACTGTCACCATCTCAAAGACAACATTTAAATATCATGGCCCTGTTTCATAAAACTTGTTATCAATATCAAATGCTAAATTTCTATGACAAATTTGCTCTTGGCCAATCAAATGCCTTGCTTTCAGTAGCTTATAACAGTTATCAGAACTTGTTATTGATAATGAGTTTTATGAAACAGTGCCCTGGAGCTCTTGCAGCTCAGTATACAGACATTCGAACCTGTCTTAGTGGCCACTTCTCCTTTAAAGCTAACCTGTGTGTACTGGTCACCTACATGTATATCGCTTCCCACTTGGAGAAAACACATAATGAAGGGACCTTGTCACCTGGCTGGCAGAAGGGCGTTTACTCGAACTTCAGGTAAAAAATGAAGCGTTAAGCAGAAGGGCGTTAGCACTAAATCGCCTCTAACTTTTATAAAACTGACTTATTTCTGAAAAAAAAAATTGTGGCCGTGTTCTACTATAACATTTCTATTACTCTTTTAAGTTTGAAATCAATTTTCATGACGGGAAGAAGTTTAGATATAAAACAAATCTTTAAATGTGTATAATTCGAACAGTAGTTTTTGAGTCGCTCGCGCGCTAACGCCCTTCTGCCAGCCGGTCGATGAACTGTCTAGAAAGGGAACTTGTCTACAGTGGTCACTTTTTGCGTTTCCCCATTGGTGACCTTCTAGACAGGTTCTTCATCACAGGGAAGCAGAGGAGGTATCCACAATAGACAGGTGACCTTTCTTTCCAGGTGGCCACTAAGACAGTTTTTAATTGTATGTGAGGTTTTCTTTTTTAGTTCATAAACAAAAAATTATTTTGAATTGATCATATGCTTGGCAGACAGGTCTGATTTGTAGATATATATAAGAATTTAATTGTTCATCCCATCCATGATAATATGTGTCAGTTATCCATTCTTAGCTCCACTTCGACTCTTATTGTGTCTATCGAAATATAACTGTATTATCATTATATATGTTTATGTATAAGTGTATTATCAATGCAAATGTTTTATGTTATCTATGGTTCATTACTTGTAAAAAGGGCTGAAGTAATCTTCCACTATCGTATTAGTT